GTGTGTGTGTGTGTGTGTGTGTGTGTATAGGTGTGGAGATATTTGCGTATACATGTTTCTCGTGTATTTCGTGTGCGTGCTTAGGTGTATTTAGGTGTATAGCGATGACAAACGACAGTGTTGAACTACTCGTCATATTCATCTTCTTCATCGGCTTCCTCACTCTCCATATCGTTATCATAATCACCGGCATCTCCACCACTAACTGTCAAGTCAATGATTGGCTCTTCCTGATAAATCTCTTCTCCGGCAGTGACTGTTGCTGTTGTTGGCGAAACAGGTTCTTCGACAATTGGCTCGGCAGTTTCATTTGCGGCAGTGGTGGTTTGCTCAGGTTCGGCGACAGCTTTTTCTTTAGCTTCTTGCTGCATGGCTTGCAACTCTTGGGCGGCAATTTCGGATTCTTGACGAGCTATTTCCGCTAGTTCAGCTGCTTGGCGAGCCAGTTCCGCTTCCTGTTCTTCAGCGGCTTGTTTCTCGATTTCAGCTAAACGACTGAGCTCTTCTTCGCGTATACGTTGCTCTTCGGCTAAGCGAGCGGCTTCTTCGGCTTTGCGTGTCGCTTCCTCAGCTGCCTTGGCTTCTGCGACTAACCTTGCTTCCTCAGCCAGTCTGGCTTCTTCAGCCTTTTTGGCTTCCTCACGCAGCTTAGCTTCTTCGGCTTTTTTGGCCTCCTCCGCTTCCTCAGCTTTACGTTTCGCCTCTTCCTCTTTAGCTCTGTAAAGCGTAAGAAACATTACATATAAAATCTTTTTTATTATTTAGAAAAGAGAAGATAGAACAGGCTACACTTTCCTACTTTCAAATTAACATAAATATATTTGCATCCTTAAGTTATATAATTTTTCCTATATATAAAAATAGTTACATATGGGTTTCTCTTCTTAGATTTACATACAACTGACATACTTTTTCTCGGCTTCCTTGGCTGCTCTGAGGTCTTGTTCGGCTTGCCTTTCAAGCTCAGCTACGCGCTTCTTTTCTTCTTCCTCGGCTAAACGAGCAGACTCTTCGGCTAGTTTGGCTTCTTTGGCTTTGCGTTCCGCTTCGGCTCGTTTCTTTTCCGCAACTTCTCCCGCCTTGCGTTTAGCTTCTTCCTCCAAGGCTCTTCAATCCGGAAAAATAATTAAATAAGTTTTTGCTAAATACTTTTTTTTCTGTCGTTTTACTTTTGCTCGCGACGTTTCTTTTCATCCAAACGTTGTGCCTTCTTTTTCTCCAATTCGACTACGTCCAAGACTTCTTCGTTTAAAGTCATTAAACGTTCTTGACGTAAACGTTGTTTCTCTTTCATTTCCTCATCTTCTTCGGGTTCCTCCAGAGGTCGTGGCGCAGAAAATTTCCGTGAAGGACGATAAGGATCCAAATCAGGATCTAAAAATGCATTATATAGAAAAAATTTTTATTTTAAAGAAAATCTGCTTTTATTAATTATTCATAATAATATTAATATTGAAAGTTAAAACTAAAAACAAATTCAATTTCTTTGATCATGAGTTCTTTGTTACTTGTATTGAGAACAATGATTTTTCATTTTAGTTTTTTTTTATGTTTATTAAAGAAATTAAAACAAAACAATATGTATATATATACATATATAAAAATACGTGTGTAAATGTGTATTCTATATACTTACATGATTGTCTAGAATGATCCTGCGTGTTTAACGTTATTGACTGAATGAAATTTTAGCAAATCTTTGCGCCCACATACTATATTTGGATTTGCATGTTGATATTGATATAATTAGCAAAGTTGATAATATATTTACATATATAGACATAAGTAAATTAATGTTAATTTTATTTGTTTTAAAGCAAATAATGTTTGAAAGAAATTTTTAACGAAATGATTAAAAATGAACTAAGTGATTGACTAATCACGCCTTGAAAGCAAAGGTTAATCTCCCAAGCACAAATGTGTGGTTGAGTGTGCGAAGCTGCACTTAGCTTCGTCAGAATATTAATTTGCTTTGGCAATAAACAAAGCTCTTTAGCAGGAAAATGCAAGCCGTAATTGGAATTGCCTATCTGTGATTTTTGCCTTCACCTAGCACTACCTGTGATGGCAGCGTCTTGCATTTACACGGATCTATGCAATACTCAGAAGAACTTGAAGTCGATCTTTTTTTTTTATTATATCGATGAATAGTTTTAAGCACTCTTGTCCGTTCATCTGTCTGGTATGGATGCTTGGGCTATTACGTGTCACTATTTTCGAGACATTTGAAATGGTGCAAGAAAATTTGTGATTTAATTTCACGACCTCTACGACGTCCATATAAACATGTATTTAAAAAACTCCAACTTCCAACTTTAATATTTTCTGACCATAACCCGTAAAAAAATAGTATATTGATTTATCAGATGAATGTAGAGGATTTCCAATGAGTGGAACCATTTCATCAAGGCCTGGCCACATGTAAATACTTTACAGACTTTAAGCATTCCTATGACAACAGGACTTCATTTCCAGTTCTTTACGAAGAAGTTTGGTACATAGCAGTGATTTGATATGAAAATTATGCGGGTATATTTATCGTACCTCTTGTCATCTAAGACTTGTGAAACCTTTATATGGGCAATAAGCTATACGCTTCGGCATTTTATGACAAAGATGGAGAGGAAATTTTATGTACACAGTTGGGCCAGGTCGACTACTAAATCCTCTGCGTATACAAAATGCTTTAACGGTAGCTTCCAAATATTTTGTTATTCTTTGTTGTCATATCACGTTTGTCATGACACTAGCGAACTATTCGAAAGTCAGTGACAAAACGGATTTAAAATAAACAAGTAAGAAAATAATATTCGGTCCATCACCGTTAGCCTAGGAAAGACGAAAACAGAAACGAGGAAAAGAAATAAACATATAAAATATATATATATAATATATAAAATCTTCAATATAGGGTGGGCGCGGTTGATTTTTTCTATTTTCAGAATGAAAGTGAAAATTTAAATGGTGTATGTGTTGTACTTTATGAGCAACAAGCAAAAAACCCGGAAAGCAAAGGTTTTGTCGCATCCAGCCGTGCGGGAACTTGTAGGGGTGCCCTTTGAACAGTTGATGTCATTTTCAAAACCTTGTCGAAGTTTATAGTGGATATCTTCATTTTCCGGACGAAGGAATGTTTACCACAAATACTACACAGTTGGGTAGGCGGACAGATGGACATGCCTACGTGCCTACATACTTTGTGGGGTCTCTGAGGGTTTCTTATGAACGTTGCAAATGCTTTGATAACATGAACACACCCCCCAACCTTCGGTGATGAGCATAAAAGCTAAAGACTGATACTTTCAGTGAGAAGCATAGCTCGTGCTTCGTTATAGCCATTACCCTCCCACAAAAGATGAAAATCTCCAACTATCTCAAGATAAAGCTGAACTTTCAACACATTTTCCTTTCTTATGAAAACTGAAGCTTTAAAGCATTTTATTATGCTCCCGTTTGATGAAAAATTAATATTAAAAAAAAGAAAAAAAAAATTGAAGCGATTAATATGAATACAAATAAACCGAGACTTTCATTATATTTCTACCAAGAATGAGACATAACAGATATTGGCTTAAAATTTAAAAGACTAGGGTGTAAATGTTCCCTATTTAGATAAAATATGAAAAACAAAAACGGAGATGACGTCGGTTATATGAAATTCATGCTAAACTAATTATTTATATGAATGAAGAAATCAATCTTTGTTTTCACATATCGTTTTATAAGTAAAGTAAGATAATCTTTTTCATTGAATATAAATCATGAAAATTTATTTCTCATGTATATATAAACAAATGACATGTGTCAACGTGAATAAAAAGATATATATATTTATATTTTTATGAACGTTTATTATGAATTGCGATAAATATTTACATTTCGACATTTCGTTTTCGCAATCGATCATATTTTATATAGAAAAACTTTATAGATTAAAAAACGTATTCAAATTGATATGATTTATATACACAACTGTCTGATATTATAAATAATTTTTTGCAGTTTAAAATTTATTTTGCCAAAATATTAACGCGATTTGTTCGTGTAAAGCGAACGATAATTTGCTCTTCTCTTTTTTTTCTTTTTTTTTTTTGATATAAATTGATGCCAAACAAAAATAAAAAATAGAGGAATTTATTAAAGTGCGCAAATTAAAAATATTACAAATTAATGCCTTAACACGTCTACGTAAACGTAAACGTATTCAAGGCGATCAGAAATATGTTGGCGATAATAATAAATGAAATGTATTAAATAAAATATGATCGCCTATACAATTATATATGTGAACATGTGTTTAAATAAATTTTTTCACAAATACACACACACACACACAAACACATACCAAAAACCCTCCATGTCCACCCCCTTTACAGCCGATACAGACTGACGGCAATTATTTATGGACTTTGTTTCCTTACAGAAAATTATGCCAATGCTAAGTAGAAAAGCCAACGGGCAGAAGGGTAAGGAAAATAAATGGGTCAAGGCCATTTAATTAGAATAATCGATTAATAAATATTACAAAACATTCATTCATACCAGGCGTTGTATGCACCTTCCCGCCAAATGAAAAAAGAAAAATGCGCAAATACCGCTCAAAGTACTGTGATAATAAAATGAAATAGAAACAGAAATGTAGAAAAAAGAAAACACCCACCCACTTGTAATGTAAACGCCTAGCAAAGATGTTTATTAACGACCCTCAAATCAAGGAAAGGAAACACATGTTATTTACGTAAATGATAAATATTTTCATTTTCGAATCGGCTACATATACATTTGTATATTATTTTCATTAATGTTCTACTGTTTTATATATATCGTTCATTTCATCATTCACTGTCTCTTTCCATAGAAGTCTTCTTTACAAAAAAGAAACAAAAATAAATAAATAAAATAAAAATAATAATGATTAAATAAATAAATAAATCCCAAAATATTTCTGTAAATCTGTTTTATATTTCATATAACTTTTTCCATATATACATATATTTATGTATATATATATTTAAAATACAAATCAAATGCATAAAAATAATTTTGAAAAAATTTTTCGTAAAGCTTGAAATGAAAATGATGAGATATTTTGTTTGATTGTTGTTTTTCTTTTCTTTTTTTAGTCGTTTGTTTTCTCTTTTTTTCTAAGTAACGTGTATTACTTATATGTATATGTATATGTTTAGCCACAAAAACCATTTGTGGTAATATGTTGCGCTTTCGTATGAGAAAACAATGATACATTTAATAGGAAATTATTTTCTTTTTTTTTTTTTAAATAAATACAATAAGCAAATCGAACACATTTTAATAATAATTTCATTTTCGATAAAACACATACACACACATACATATAAATACATATATATATATGTATCAGTTAGGCTTCAACCTCAGCAGCGCATACTACATAAAATCGGGGATATCATAGAATAAGAAACAAAAAAAAAGAAGAAGAAAATGTTTAACGTTAGTAATCAAATTGAAAAATTTCGATCAAAAGAAATCAGTGAAAAACTTTGAAATGTTAATCACAAATGTGAGTACAGGGAGTGAAAAATTAATACTTCATTTATGGATTCAATAATTTTCTTCTTTGTTTAGCTATGATTTTCATAAAACTTTCAACGCCTTACGCAGTGTCCAGAAGGAAGCAGAACTTATTATATCGATTGAGATCTAAGGTTTGTATACAAGCTATAGGCCGCTATATTTGAGATATTTTGATGAACTTTTGTATCCTGACACAACCTCACCGATAGACCCACCTTTTCTTGTACCGATCGATTCAGAAAACCATTCTAATCTTGCCTATCCCTCTGTCTGTCTATCTGTCCATGTGTTCTCTAGTTCGATTTACTGGTGGCATTCTTCGAAATATATTGCGGAATTTGCTATGCTTTCCGTCTGGCTACCTATTCTTGTGTTCAACTTACGGCTCGTACTTCATGAGATATTTTGATGAAATCTAGTACACTGACGTGTTGTGGCCATAAGAACGGGTACTATGGAAAATAGTTCGGATCGGACCACTTTTTCAACTACCATCCATTTAACGTCCTATTTTGAAAGATCGCTGTATGAATAACAGAAGGTTGGTGTACAGTATCTCATGCTAAGCCAGGGACCGCTATAATGTTTCTGCTTGCTGTAAAAGCGATGAGGATTCTTTCGGTAAAATTTCATTTCAAAGGGAACAATTTTTTTTTTTTTAAAGAACTGGCAATACCTTGTTTGTAAAAGTCGATAAAATTGTAACTTCTATATGCACAAATACCGTTCTAGAACTTTACGTAACATTTATTATCTATCAATCATGACCAATACCTTTCCAAATGTGTAGAACGTTTCCTTACTAGCGACATACGCAACATAACGTTCGAGGGTATTATATAAATCCGAATCAGCCCCAAAAACTCCTAAGGCGAAGAGTGTTGTCTTTTGTGTTTAAGTAGAAGTAAGAGCTGCTTCTATCGGAAACTCAAAAAGGCTTGATGCGAATCGTGAACAAAATTGTTAAAGCCGAATATCTTTGTAATCGAGGTTAGGTATTATTTCTTCTGATTGAAATTTCTTGCAATCGATGGCTAATTGTCATTCTGGAAAGCCTCAAGAGATCCGCTGCTCTTTCATCATGGAAATCAGATTTTGTCAGAAAGATGGAGGTGTGTAGCTAACGATGAACAATACCTTCAAGAAATTATTTTATTCTCTCATGCTCTTGATAGAAGTTTCCCTTTTTTCATAAAAAACTATTAGGAAATTTTTTCCACAGCAAGTAGAACGCCGGCACTCTAAATAGTTTTATGATTTGACATTTGTTTTCAATTAGCAGAACTAGTCAAAATTTATAGCACCTTTAAGAGCAAAATGAAAACTGAAACTCAAGCTTTGTGAAATTTACGGCGATCTTCACAACTATTAGAGCATTATAGTTAATTTTATGTTTGACAAAGGTGAAGGCAAATTTCTTATATCCTACAACATATCGGCGAAAATAACGCTCACGATTTTGATATTTAAACTCACGATAAGCTACGCATTTCACAATAAAGCAAGCAGTCATGTAGAGGCCAAGAAAAATGACAAAATATGCCAGTCAGGTTTTTTGCAAACTTTGTTTACGGCAAACTTGTTATCATCCCTGTGCATGTAAGTTGAATGAAACAAAATAGCAACAAAATAGTAACAATGTAACAAAATATGAGAAGTCACTGTAATAATCGACGGGAAATTATACTTTAAAGTGTATGAAATAAAGATTTAAAACAAAGCGCAGCAATTACTTGTAACTCATTTATTACTGTCATTATATTGTTGCGTATACACTACCACCTGACTCGTATCTAAATCCTCTCTATTTCCCCTATGTATGCTTCAGCAGATTACCTTCGGTTTTAAGTTGCTTTTTTTAAGGTATTGTCAAGAATGACTGTCTGAATTGAACTAAGTTTGTCTCTCCGTCCATCCGTCTGTCCGTTGTCTGTATTATTTTCTTGCGTACTTGTGTTTTCGAAAAGTTCTAACGAAATTTGACGCACCGACATGTTGCGGCCCAATCACGGATACCGTTGAAAATGGTTTCGATCGAACGACTTCTTCGACCACTTCCCATATAACGACATTCGCTAAGTAAGACTACTAAGGATAACTGTACTACGCGCACTGATGTAAAATATTTCATCGCGGACCGTGTCGAATTACAGGATTTTTACTTGAGTTATTATTATTTACTTTATTACATTTATTTATTCATTTAATTTTTTATTTATATTTGCTCAACCAATGCATTTTATATTAATTTATTTTTAAGTGTTATTGAATCCACAAATTTTTATGGTAAAATATGTAACGCTTTAAATTATTTACAAATGTTCATATGATGAAATAAAATGAAACATTTTTTATGCATTCGTATAACGAATTAAAATACTTACCTGTATCGACACTCTCCACTTTTTCATCTACTTCTACTTTTTTCTCACTTTTAACTGTGGGGTGTCGCAAGTACCAGGATAGGAGATTAATATCATTACGTAACCTATCCGAGTCAAACATGGGCCTTCTTAGATCATAAGATCTATTTCCGCATATCCTTACGGATGCTAGATGGCTTTTACCTTTTATTCAAATTTTAACAAGGCACAATTATTATATTATTACTATATTATAATTATTATTATTGTGGTTTATTAGCAAACTGTTTACAGAACACATTTAAAAATGTGCTTCGCCACAAATCCTCTCTTATACATATGTATGCTAGTTATCTTACATATACCCATGAGTTTGATTATGCAAATTGAAATTTACATACCGACATATTTGCGAGCTGGCTCTGGATACATGGACATCTTATGCACTTCTTTAGCAACATGACGTACAGGATTTGTTATACGAGAAACATAGGCATCAAGAGCTAACTTAGATGTAGGTTCATAGCTATTCGTACATAGACGTCACAAACAAAATGTCAACACATAATGAAACACTAACATCTTCACGAAATGATTAACAAATTTAAATCTTATACAGACTTACCCGATGACTGGGAAAGGTGTAGTGCTGCGTGAATAGCGTGTAACCGGTGTATGTACATCACGCGCCAATGATTGAGCTTTATAGCGTATACGATTAGCTTCATCGTGGAAGACCTATTTATATGAAATTTATTTTAAATTAAAATTTTCCAGGTTGCATCGCAATGAGGTAATAACAAAAATAATAACAATAATAATAACAACAACAACAACAACAAGAAACAAAAAGAAACAACGAAAACTTACAGTATAGGGTTCAGTGCCTAGATAACTGCTTATGGCCCGCGAACCAAAAAGTGGCAAATTTCTCTTCAAATATGAAGGTGTAATGCGAGCCGGTGAAGTTGTTACTCTAACTGGAGTGACCGAACGTGTATACAGGCGTGAGATGGGCGTGTAGTAATAGGATGGTGTATTGGTAGTCGTGTACACATAGGAGGATGGTGTATAAGACGAAACATAAGTTGATGGCACATATGATGAGACATAACTTGGTGGTATATAAGGAGAAGCGTAAGAATATAACGTTGGTGAGGTGTAAGTGTACGAAGAACTATAACGATCCGGCGTTGTGACAACACGAGTTGTGCGTACCACGCGCACTGGTGACGGACTGCGTACAACACGTGTATAAACTCGAGCTGGGGAAGTCACAATTCGAACAGGCGATGCGATCACACGACTTCCACGAGTATAAGAAGTGGTCGAGTAGATAGGATAACTTGTTTTATATACCTAACAAATTGTTTTTGCTTTTTATATTATGTGCATTTTATCAAACGTCTGAGAGAACAACAATAACAGCTGACGATGATAGTGAAGTGAAATGACGCATTAATATGAATGAAAGTTGAAAGATTCTAAAGAACTATATCCCGCAATGATTTTAAAAGAGTATAGATGAATATTTTTATTAGGATGTTTGATAGTAATTTAACGGGAAAAGAAAGAAAAAGATTCCAAATTCTGGGACATCCGCAAAGTGGTTTTAGTGCAAACATACCTCCAGTTGATACGAGGATTGATGAAGTTCTAATTCTAAATTCTAATCTCGCAAAAGGGTTCGTTGCTATAAATTATAACGAATATTGTAGCAAGTGCTTTGTAATCTTGTAAAGTTTATCGTTAAAAGGACAAAGAACAAGAGTGAAGTAAGTTTTTCCTATAGCGAACATGTTGTCCCACTGCGATTCAAACGGATGAGATTGCTCATGTAACAGAATGTAACGAAAAATAGAAACCGTGTTTGATGAAATGCATACACACATATGTCTTAGAAAGTCTAATATGATCTTCTTCTTTCTCAATCGACTAACTTGGCGATACGAGGCGTCCTTGGAGTGTAACGAAAGCAATGATTATGTCAAAATGGAAATAAGTGTAAAAGGAATCAAGTTAGAAAATCGCAAAGTCCGTTACTCTACCCGTTGCAATTGAAGGTCAACTATTTAATAGGATTTTTACAAAATCCAAAGGTTTGAAAGCGGTTCGTTGAAAAACTCTTCTGTAGGAGAGGTTCCAAAAAATATCCGAAACTAGTCAAACCGTCATTCTACACTAAACGATAAAAATAAAATTGACAATTTTCAAAAAACTCGCATCTTTGGATTACAGTGCACGCAGTGGTGTAAAGTATGTAATGGCTCCATTCGACGACTGTAACAATTTAAGTTATTTTCATATATTATTTTCATTTTACATATATATAAATCAAATGACATATACATGAAGCTACGTCGTCAAGTTAAAGAGGTGCAATGAACGTAGAGTCTAAAGCCAATTTGTTATAATTTACTGAAAAGATATGGACTCAAGATATACAGAACAGTTTATGTTTTTTATGATTCTTTTTGATTTTTAGACCCTACATCACTTGTGGCCAACAAAAAACTTGACATATGCCCACGTTTTATTATACCGATCGATTCAGAATCACTTTCTAATTTGTTCTAACCGTCTCTGTCCGTCTGTCTATCTTCCCATACAGTGACTTAAATTGATGAGTCGTTAGATGAGTGGCTCACTAAAGCGTTTCGTATCTATCATAAATCTGTGTATCAGTCTTCCCATATAGTGACTTAATTGTGATGAGCAGTTATCTGAGTGGCCCACCTGTAGCGTTTCATAACTAAGATTTCACTTTAACAAGCGTAGTGACTATAGTCCAAGGGTTATCTTTAAGAAAAGTGAATGAATGCGAATATGTTTAATGTTCATATGTGTAGGGTAAGGAGCGAGCGAGAGAGAGGCGATAATAAATGAAGTGCATGTAGAATAATACAACATAAAATATTCCAAATACTTACACGTGAGACCTTTGTTACAACAGGATACTAAAATTCAAATAATCATTTAAAAAAAAAAAATTTGTTAAATTGATTGCATATTGTTTTTTTTCTTTTACAGTTATATCTAACGGTAATCAAAATCGTTCATTTAACGTCTGTTGAAAAAAAAGTAGACCTAATAAATGATTAATTATTAAAAAAAGAATTAAAAAAATAAATAATAAAAAAATCAAATACACGAAGGCGATCCTCGCTATGTAAGCCCTATGGAACTTTCACAAATTTCAATTCTAATCAAAATTCATAGTGAAACTCCGTTTGCTACTAATCATTTGAGATTATCGAGGGTTAAGTCATATCGCATTACCAGAACCATTAGAAAACTCAATGAATTTTTCGAAGAATTATAAAAAAATGTGTATTAAGTAAAAGAAAAACTTTATTGATTCATTAATAGTTAGATAACAAATATGTGTGTGTGTTTTAAATTATAAATCACTTATTTGCAGGTTTATAAACATTGTGGTTTTACTTTCTAAATGATATATTAATTTTAATTGTTGCAAAAGTTAGTTCAACCATCGCAAAGAACGGAGTTAAAAAACAACTATAAACTAAAAAAATTTAAAAAAAATTTTTTTTTTGATTTTTTTGTCCATAGATATGGTATAACGGGAAACATATGATTTACAAAAGTGTGTGCGTGGGTTAGTATAAAACACATATATGTTCGATATAAGAGAAAAAATTAAAAAAAAAAAGAAATTAAAGCAATCAGTGTGCGGGCATCAAGTTGTTGCTGACGATAACGATGCATTAATTAATGATTGCAAATAGAGGCTTAGACACGGTACGAGTAGTGACGATAACGTGTACCGCCGGGCAATACGCCAGATGTAGTCGACGAGTAACTGTAACCACCTGGGCCACCGCCTGTGGTACTTGTACGTTCAGTGGAGTAATTGTAAGCACCGCCGGGACCGCTGCGAGCCGAAGATTCATATGAAGACTGATATGATGAACGTTCCGGCCGATAAGAGTAGGGATTACTGGAATCGTAATTGCTCTTCTCTACCGATGATTTGTACGAATACGAATAATCGGAAGTACCATGCGTGCGATGACTGCCTGGTCGATCTGTGGCAAGATCCAAGCGAGGAGTCTGCGAATTTTTTAAGTAAAATAAATTTTTCTTTTTTATATTTCTCTATATTATCACTAATTAAAAAAAGGTATCAATCTATCACTCAAATAAAAAAAAAGAAGAAAAGCAAACTAAAAACTACAAACTATTCCATGAATGCTTTACATACTTTCTTTTGGTAAACACCTCATGTCTCAATCTTCAATTGTAATTGAGCCGACTTGCTGTATTGCCTTTCATTGATAACGCGTTCTTACGTTGATACGATAGAAGTAGTCATTGCAAAAACCCCATAAAAAAAATATCTTTTGAAATTTAATCTACGATAGGTAAGGAAATTGAAACATGTTTGAATTTCACGTTAATTGAAAAAAAAAAAAAAAAAAACAAATTTGCACTACTGGTCACAGCAAAGAGAAACATCAAAAAAGAGCAAAGGAACTCAAAAAATATGTTTTCGTTTTTCGTTTTTTTTTTTTTTTTTTTTTTTTTAAATTAAAAGTATTATATATAGAAAAAACGTAGAAGCTGTTATTAATAAATGTATCTGGTAACGAGGGCACCAGATTTCTCATTACGATATGTTTCACGTTTAATCGGTAACGATTCAGAAGCAGCACGATGTTTACGTGGCAACACTATATCTAAACTGTCGCGCGATGTACGTGCTGCCGTATTACCACCAACGTCCACCGTATCGATGTGTTGACGAACCATATTTAATATGCGTTCACGATTTTTATCACGTGCCGGTATATATGGTTTAATAGGTTGATGTAGAACTTCATAGTCGGGCCTTATAGCGGCTCGATTTATAGGATCCAGTATTGAAGTTTGCCGTTTATTACGCTCTGACCGATATTGGCCGAAAGCGGTAATTGGATCCGTTATTAACGATGGCCTCGGTACATATGGACATTTTTCCCAGTCAATTGGTGTTCTAGTCTGTAATGCCCATATAGAGGGAAATATGTTTGATATTAACCAGCCGCAAAAGAAAGTTTGCTTTTATAGATTTTGTATTAACTATAACAAGGAGCAGTAAGCATCGTGCATACAAAAGCATTGCTTTACACATTCAATTACTTAAAGCTTAAAAACAGATGACAGATACATTCATTCACTTTATCGCTTCGTCTTGCAGGGAAACTTTTAAAAAATTGCCTTAAATATTTACAGCTATGTTTAAGAGCACAAAAAACATTTGCGGTCTTAGATATATATAATTTATATAGTACATAATCCGTAAACGTATGCATTGTATTGTATTTTATGTACAGAAAATATCTTAATTGCGCGCAGTGTGGTGGTAAGTATTGGAACATGTGTGTAATATGTTAAACTTTAGTCAAAAAAAAAATTTTTTTTTTTGCTTATTTTTAAATGTCTGTACAATTTTAATAAATTCAAATTTTTTGCAAAAAAAAAAATGTTAAAAGTTATTCTATAATTGAAAGAAAAATAGTTGGAAGCGGAATTCGGCTTCTACCGAATACCTGTAGATACCCACCACTTGCTTTTCATTGCTTTCTCGTAAGCACAACGTGGTTTGCAGACGGATAAAGATACTTTTTCAAAAATATTATAAAAAATAATTCTTAGATACTAACTGTGCTATGGGGCCCAATTTAAGGCCGGGCGGATGTAAGCAACATCTAAAAACACTTTCAATGGTTCCTTCTTCCATTTTTTGATCCTGAGTCATTTTCTGAATTGATTTATGCTTTCCTGTCCATGTGTCTGCAACTTATTGGTCACATATTTTCGAAAAGTTTACATCAAATTTCGTCGCAAGACTAAAGCTATTGAAAATGGATTAAGTCTAACTGTTGTTACGTCTATTCGCCCTATAAAGACTTGCAAAAGGTTCTTTGTAAGCGGACTTTTCTCGGCAAAAATCGTTGAAAAACATTTTCCTGGCGTAGTAAATGATTGGAGAATACTTGAATGAAATTTCAAGGCAAAGTTTCCACTTTTTTTTTTTATTAATGGCCAATGACTCGGAATATGTCCTCTATTTATGTAACGCGGTTATGGTTAGAAAAGAGAGAAGAGAAGTTGAGTTGGGTAATTGTAGTGCGTTGTGCCGATTAAGCACTCACTGTAACTACGACAAAAACGTAAACTCTAACTTTCGACTTGGACCCGTGAAGACTGACTTATTTACTCGGCTATCCATACGACCTGTCAAGCTCAAAAAGTGGTTTATTGGCTTTGAACGTGCCTGTAGTCGTTGTAAGATTATATTGAAAATTCCTTTCATCTGCACTTGTAAGTCGGTATCTGTCAACTTATCCAATGCCCTCAAAATAGATGCAATATGGCGCTACGATTAGCTACACCTGGAAAGACGACTTTTTAAGCATTTCAAAAATTTATACCTCCTCCTACTTTCTTCAATAGTTTTTACACAATTCTTAAATATTGTAGAAACTTTATTAGTTCTAAGAAAAAAATGCGAATAATAGCTTCCCCGCTAAGCCTCGAACACGACATCAACGCGGACAGCCTATCAATGTACACCATTTTATTTGCTTATTCATAAGTCTTTTGTATAATATTTAAAGGAAATGTTCTGCTTAAATAAAATTGTCTTAAAACCCTGCCTTGTAGCGTATAGTCTAGCGGTTAGGTTGTCCGGAGATCAGCCTGAAAACTAGGGCTCGATTCTAGCTGCGGTTATACCACAAATTGTACTACTATTGCATATATATAAACATAAACAATGCATTGAGTTCGTGCTTCCATTTGTGGACCCATTTGTAGAAATGGTTTTTTGCCTGAGTGCCTTGTCTCCCTCCGTCTACGGACGGTTTCGAGTATAAATCAAATCATTTTTATGGCATTGGGGAAAAAAAGGATTTTCCTACAAATCTTATAGCTTCCACTCACAGTTTTTTTACGATACCTGGCGGATTTTCGAGAAGTTACTATAACCATTTTTTATTAACAAAGAAGCGCTTTTTTCTTGTGTCCAAGATTGAAATTTTTCACTCAAACTCTGCCCAATAACAAAAAAACTCAATATATCTAAAATCTCATGCACAACGCTGTAGCTATAGACTTGTACGTTAAATATGCTGTCTTTCTTTTGTATAATTAAATTCACACCGACTATAGAATAGGCCTGTAGAGCCTGTGACATCTTTTTTTTAAATATATTTCCCTTTTTTGTTACTTCAGTATATGCTTTATTTATCATTATTCTATCAACTCTCTCTTCATTACAAAAAAACAGTGCAATTCGCAAAGAAAAAAAAATTTTAAATAAAAAAAGTCATAACATGCTCTAAGCGTTTTACTCCGTATGTTATAAATTATTGCAAAAGCATAGCATACTCAGGGCATAAGGTAATCCGAAGAGTGACATGCTGTAGATAAAGCATAAAAAAAAACTAATAAATAATGTAAGTAGCGGAAGATCTGAGCAGCGCAGGTATTAGTAGCATAAAGAAAAAGCCATAGAAGTAAAGACCAGATTGTTACCAGTTCTATTAAATTTTTCGGCGGAATTTTAAAATCTTTTTCTTTATAAGCATCATAAGCATGAAGATGATCAAACTTTGCTAAATGATTTACGCTATTCCTGATTATTAAGAGTATACGTAGAATAAGGAGATTATTGCAATAAATTTCTGCTCCTATACTTTACAAATAGTTGTCTTAATTAACATAATTTTTATAATGAATGTAAAAATATGTGTTCCGTAAACAAATTTTCCCGTTCTCTACATGGAATTATTCCTAACTACCACCACCGCCACCACAGCCTTGCCGTTCGGATGCAGAGAACGTGTGGCTGACCAGATAAAATTGAAATTTAATCAAGTAAAAACACTAGAGTGAATCGTATTCCAGCCTTAAATATCCTCCGCCATCCTGCAGTTATATATGAAAACCT